TTTGAACCCAAATAAGTACTTTTCTAGTCATTTGTTTCTTGAATTGCGTGCAAAGCCTCTCGTGGCCCATCTGCACTAGCCACCCTTACTTTATCAGTGAAAGACTAGAGGGAAGGTAGCTAATCAACACCACCCACCGCCAACACTTCTTTTTTTACCAACGAGTAGTTGAAATGACTGTCATAATACATCCCCCCCCCACGTCTGAAAAGGCGAGCATGTTCGGTGACGGGATTCTGTCCCGTGACCAGCAGATGACAAGTAGAGTGTCCTAACCACCAAACAGGCTTTTGCAATCGAAGGGACTCTTTTTTTTTTTTACCAACTTCCAATGCAACTTGAAGATACAGGAATAAAACGCAGTGTTAACACTCCTATTCGCTGTCTACTGACACAAGATTCCAAACAAAGCAGTCTGTGATGGTTGTTCAGAAGGAATAATGGCTAAAATAACGATCCTGGCCTTTTCTCTTTATTTTCAAAGCACATGACCTTAGATGCTGGGTCATTTGGGTACAGACGACACGGTAAGCTTAGTATCTCTACTTCTTGTTCGTTAGATAGCTACTAATCTTCGAAGATAGCCCTAACCACATTAAAATACGAGCAGAAGTCGTCAGTGTCGCAGTATTGTACATGACATACTGTTGGATGTTGGTTTGAGAGTTAAAGACCAATACTGTAATATAATGAGTTGCTCGGCTAATCACAGGTTGTTCTAACGTAAATAAATGTGTGTTTCTGGAAGAACAACTAAATATAATTACAGTATTTTGTTTGAATAACAAAGTATAAAGTTTCACACCGTATTAGGTACGGGACAATATTAGTTGAACACCGTATTAGACACGGAACAAAAATAGTTTCACACAGTATTATATACGGAACGATAATAGTTTAACACCATATTTGATACGGAACGATAATAGTTTAACACCATATTTGATACGGAACGATAATAGTTTAACACCGTTTGGGTACGGAACGACAATCGTTTAACATCGTATTAGGTACGGAACGACAATCGTTTAACACCGTATTAGATATGGAACGACAATAGTGGAACACCGTATTTGATACGGAACGATAATCGTTTAACACCGTATTAGATATGGAACGATAATAGTTTAACATCGTATTTGATACGGAACGATGATACTAGCTTGAATGACTTTAAGCGTATTCATTTGTATTTTGTTGTCTTCTCAACTATTATCATTCACTGTACATACAGTTGTTTGTTTAGCACTCATTTAACAACTTAGTTCACCAGAGATTTGAGATGGTTAATTAGAGTCTAAGCAGAACACTACTGTATCAGCCAGTCATTAAAAAAAACTAACAAAAACTTATTGTCTAGTAGTGTGCATACAACAAGAAGATGATACAGTGTAGAATCCATTGTTAGATGTCATCTACGCCGAAACGGAAAAGAGTGTAATCAGTTGAATATTTCACCAGACATTTGAGGTGCAGTCGGTTTTCTTAACAGAGATTCTCAGAAAGACCGGAGAAACTTGTGTTTAAAACAGGTCTTTGTCCATGGGTGTAGTCGCGCAGGATGTTAACCTTTAAATGGCCGTCTGTTAAAAGGACTAATCCGTCATTAGCCGGATTTTAATAGCTAGTGTAGGTGCTCCACATGCCTTTGACCTTAGTAATCTGTTGCGTTCGATTCAGAATTTGTCCGTGGGTGCGTCATCATCTGACGTAATCCGCGAGAAATAGGTTATTGCCACAGAGGGTGAAATAATTAACAAGATCTTTAATCACCTCTACTTAAAGAACGATTTAAATTTTCACTCAAATGATGACAAAAAGTATCAGATTGTTACGGTAAAATTGTTGGTTAAAATAACTTCTTAGTTTCGGTAAAAATACACAAAAATACGCTAAATCAAAACTACAGCGATAAATACGCATACACAGAATTTTAAACACAAAAATACGCTAAATCAAAACTACAGCGATAAATACGCATACACAGAATTTTAAACACAAAAATACGCTAAATCAAAACTACAGCGATAGAATACGCATACACAGAATTTTAAACACAAAAAATACGCTAACTCAAAACTACAGCGATAAATACGCATACACAGAATTTTAAACACAAAGATACGCTAAATCAAAACTACAGCGATAAATACGCATACACAGAATTTTAAACACAAAAAATCTTAACGGTCTGTATTTTAACGGTCTTATAATTATTTTGTTTTATGAATTCGTTTCAAGATATTTCTATTGAAACTATTTTCGCGAAGAACCATTCTTGTTGATTTATTCCCCAATGGCTACTTAACGCACGCTTGATTACGCTTTTATAACTTTGTATATTTTGTCATTTGTTCTCAAGATTCCGGTTGTGAGATTATATTCAGAAACACAACCCATGATACAATGTGACATTATGGTTTCATCAACAACCCATGGTACAATGTGACATTATGGCCATAATGTCACATTGTATCATGGGTTGTTGATGAAACCATAATGTCACATTGTATCAGGGTTGTTGATGAAATTTCATCAACAACCCATGATACAATGTGACATTATGGTTTCATCAACAACCCATGATACAATGTGACATAATTTCTAAATGAATTGTAATGTAATATAAAATGAGCACAAAACCTCTGGCACATCCAAGAGACCTTACAAAGGGGATTTACGTTTATGATGTTACGAAATTGACGTCATCAGCACCTGTCACTAGGAAACAAACCAAGGGATCAACAATCTTACTAACATGTCTCATGGTCTGTAAATGTTACTAACATGTCTCATGGTCTGTAAATGTTACTAACATGTCTAATGGTCTGTAGATCTTACTAACATGTCTCTTACTAACATGTCTAATGGTCTGTAAATGTTACTAACATGTCTCATGGTCTGTAAATGTTACTAACATGTCTAATGGTCTGTAAATGTTACTAACATGTCTCATGGTCTGTAAATGTTACTAACATGTCTAATGGTCTGTAAATCTTACTAACATGTCTCATGGTCTGTAAATGTTACTAACATGTCTAATGGTCTGTAAAT